GGGGGGGGGGGGGACAGTTTGTAAAGTATATTATTATCTAACCACTATGCTGTACACCTGAAACTAATACACAATAATGTTGAATGTAAACTGTAATTGGAAAAAAAAATTTTAATTAAAAACTAACTAAATAAATAAATTTCAGGCAGGCCTGCCAGAGGAAAATATTGTGCACATCATAAAGCAGAAATTTCAAAGGCTGAGATTTTTTTAAATGATGTAAATGGAAGTTCTGATATTTTCCTGCCACCCCCGGATGAATCATCTTGGGCACCGAGGACGTGAACACCGAATGGGGAGTCCACTGACCCAGAGGATGGAGGGAGGTGCTGGAGCCACACAGGGTTAGGGGGTGACTATGCCGCCGCCCGGGGCCCGGGGAGGGGAAGGGCTGAGGCTGGGCCCCGCCACGGGGGTGGCTGTTGCTGGCGGGCGGGGAGGGAGGGAAGGCGTGCAGTTCGAGTCTGTCCCTGGTCTTTGCTCACAGAAGGGCCTGAATTCGAAGGGCTCACCTTGTTCTTGATTTTCCTCCGGATTTTCTTCAGGGCCTTCTCCTCTGATTTTGTCAGAGGCAGTTTGGTGGGGATGGGATAGCCCTCGGCGATCAGTGTCCTCTTCTCCTCCTCGGTCAGGACCAGGGGGCCTGAGCCCTGCAGTTTCTGTGCAAACCAAGGACCAGAGGGAGGTCATCAAAGGAGGACAGCTGGGCACACTGAGGCCACCTCTCCCGAGGGGTAAGAAGACCCTGTTATAATGTCCTATAAAAAGGCTGAGAGAAGCCTGGCCGGTGTGGCGCAGTGGTTGAGCGTTGACCTAGACTCCAGGAGCTCTCGGTTCGATTCCCGGTCAGGGCACATGCCGGGGTTTCGGGCTTGATCCCCAGTCGGGTGTGTGCAGGAGGCAGCCGATCAATGACTCTCTCATCACTGATGTTTCTCTCTCTCTCCCTCTCCCTTCCTTTCTCTGAAATCAATAAAAATATATTAAAAAAAAAAAAGAGCTGAGAGAAAAGGCAGCCCCATCTGCTCTTGGTGATAAAAGGGTTCTCTTTGAAGTGGAAGCAGAGATGGAGCGGACACTCAGGTGGGGGTTATAACCTAAGGATTATCATTCAGGGGAGAGGGGAAGAAACCTCCCCCATTATTCCCCAGAAGGTACCCCGCTAGCCACCATGTCCAAAGTAAAGGACGGGATTCATTTCTCACATCCCTGGAGGTTTCTTGGCCCTGGGGTAGGAAGGATTCAGATGGAGCCCTAGCTGGGGAACAGAGTTTGCTGTTCCCTGAAAACGCAGTTTTGTGAGACGCTCCGCACACACTGGGAGCTGCTTCTGGCCCTTCACTTACTGCTAAGGAGCCAGGGCTGCTGGGCTCCACCTGCGGGCACTTTCCATGGAAGTGTCTGGCTTCAGTGCAGTCCCAGACTGTCCATCGATTGAAGATGAGAACTGTCGCTCATCTCATGTAACCCATAATAGGACAACATATGCACAGTTAGTCGGACTGAGCGCCTATTGCGTTTGCTCCGTGTTACGTCCATGGAGGGCTCGAAACAAACCCAGGAGCTTGTGGTCAAGGCTGAGACTGAACGGGAGCAGTTAAATGCTGGGCTGTAAAATTAACTCAAGGTGCATTAACAACTTGGTGAAACAATACTTATATGAGTTTGCGTCCTCAGGGAAGGCTTGGGGTCGGAGGTAAGGCCTGAATTGGGCCTCCTGAAGGAAGGGGGTGGTTTACACGAGAGAGGATTTACATTCCAAGCAAAGGGTGGTATTTTGAAAAGTGAAGATGCTACTCTGCCTAGAGTGGGGACGGAGCTCTTGAAACTGCAGAGGGTTGTCCTAGCAGGTTTGGCTCAGTGGTTAGAGTGTCAGCCTGCAGACTGAAAGGTCCTGGGTTCGATTCCAGCCAAGGGCACATACCTCGCTGCAGGCTTGATACCCAGCCCGGGTCGAGGCATGGGTAGGTAGCAACCAATTGATGTGTCTCTTTCACATTGATGTTTCTCTCTCTCTCTCTCTCTCCCACTCTTTCGGAAAAAGCAATGGGGAAAAATACCCTGGGGCGAAGGTTAAACTGCAGAGAGGGTGGAGGCTAATACAGAGTAGAGTTACTAGGGCTTGACCCCAGCAGGCACTCGGGAAACACACCCCGGTTGTGGAAAAGGCTGGGACCCTGGAGGGCTTCCTCCATGAACATGCAGAATGGACAGACTGTGGGAAGACAGAAGCTCTGCTTGTCATCGAAGGGGCCAACAGCGAGTGGAGAAGGTAAAGGCGGGGTGGAAAGAGCTCATTCCCCTGTCCTTAGTCATGGTGATAGGAAAGCACGTGGCCCTAGAACTCTCTGGGACTAAATTCAAATTTTCAAACTTATGTTGATGGGCAATTCTTATAGAATTTTCAAATATATGATTTCATTCAAATTTCTCTATATGATATTAGAAATTCAATAAATTGATTATAATGTTTAAGATATAGTAGAAAATCAGTGAATTCCTCAGTACCATAAGAAGTTCATAGCCTATCCCTATTTTTTACGTGGAAAACGGTGCCCTTATATACGCTACGGATGAACGACGTCATGACTTCTAACTTGTCCCTGGGTTAAAGGCCGTACCACAGGACAAAGGGTTAAACTACAATTTTGGAGCTTTAGACATCAAAGCGTTTAATTCCTGAGAGATTTTTAAGTTCACCAAAGATTGTTTGTTTAAAAACAAAGTTATTCTAGAGCTGTATCAAAAACAACAAACCTGCGCTCACATCACAATGTAATTTTGATAGGAACATTCTGTTATTTCTACAAGGCAGAATTGGGTGTAACAGTTGAAATAAACTTAATATCATGTAAATAAAATAAATACAATTAAATAAAATAAATAAAATAAAATATAAAATAAATAAAAACATTAAAAATTTTAAAAATTAATAAAATAAAATAATAAAATAAATAAAATAAAATAAAAACAAAGTTATTTCCTACTGTAGCCCGTAAGGATCGCCTACACTGATGGTAAATATGTGTGATACGATCCAGAAAAGCAATACGTTTTTATTCCTGGTGCCATAACTATGTAAAATAAACATATGATGAAACGGGAGGTGTGCACAGGAAGAGAACTGTGTTACTAGGTGACACCACGAGCCATTCTTAAAAATGTTCCTTAAGATCCTCACCCTGCCTTAAACCTAAAACGTCTTTACAAGAAGAATCCTGTGGCCTTGAACGACAGCCACTCTAGGTGAAGGTCCAGGGGACAGACGGACAGATGGACAGGGCTCACGCCCAGAGGATCCGGGGGAGACTTACATGCGGAGCTGTGAGGAGCGGGGAGCTGGAGAGGGCGGAGGGGGCCCGTGGCACGGCCCTGGCTGGGCTGTGGGTCTGAGGCAGGCCAAAGGGGTGCAGGCGCGGGTTGGGGCTCAGGCTGCCCTCCGAGTCACTGCTGTGGCTGCTGGGAGGGGTGGGCGGGAGGTGCAGGTGGTCCACGGAGGCTGGGGAACAGAGAGCAGGTTTCATCCATCAGAGGGCAGCGAGGCAGGAGCCGGGGGCAGGTAATAAACTACACATCAGACAGCGGAAGGTAGGGCCACTGAACAAACCAAGCCGACAGAGAAAGATCTCCGAGATGTACTGTTAAGGGGGTGGGGGTGGAGGGGATCAAGGTGCAGAAACGCGTATAAAGGAGCCCTCCTTTCGTATGGAAAAGGAGGAGAGAATAGAGGTGTGTTTGCTCTCTCTGCATAAAGAAACGCTGGAAAATAGGTAAGAAACTAATCAAACGATGACCAAATGGCAGGGGGACCAGAGGGTCGATGGGGAAAATGCTGGCATAACTTTTCACTGTCTTCATTCTGTATCATTTCTATAGTTGGACTTGTAAACATTGTGACTGTATTGTGATCTTTTAAAAAAAGATAAGAAAAGAGCAAAACGTGGGAGCCCGTGAGGGTTCTAGGAAAGCTCATTTGTCTCTGGAGGGTGGGCATGGTCGACCGACCCGCAGGCGTTAGAAAGTGCTAAATCCATCAGTAGACAGAGAAGCAGGCACTGGAAGCCAAATGGAGTTCTGCAGAGTCCCCTGCGTCTGAGTCCATTCTTCCCCATCTTCAGGGAGGTACACGCACTCTCCCAAGGCCCTGGAGCCTCGGTCAGTATCAATCGTATCAATCACGTGTCCCCAGGGCAGCTGGATGGGCTCCAGAAGAAGAGAGAATCCACTGAGTTCAACCCTACAGAAGAGCTCTGGGGTCTCCCTCCTTTTTCCAATTGGCGGATCTCTCCGGTTACTGAGCCAAGGGACACAACCTTGGTGAGCCTGTCACCTCACACCCGTCCTGGGTCCTCACGCACACCTGGGCTGGCTTGGCCAGAGGACCGCCAGGGGCTGTAAACAGTACAGGGGCTGTGCAATAAACCCGACAAGCTCGGGAATCACGAGGCAGGCCTGACAAGCCCAGCGGCCAAAAGCAACCACACAGGACGTCTGATCACAAATTCCTAACTGGGCAGGTCCTGGTGGGCCCACAGGCTTCACCTCCTAAGCCCACAGCTTCCTTGGCAAAGGTCAATTTTTATCTTAAGTGAGCTCTGCCCACTGTTCTCACGCAGAACGGATAGCATACCTTTGAAATGTTAGAGCAATTTCCTTTCCCTACGCCTCGAAGGCACAACCACCCACCCCAGAGCCAAGACCACAGAACCCCTCATTGTTATCTTGTTTCACACCCATGCATGTTAATTACGAACTAGCCCACTTTGCCTTCTATCCAACCCCAGAGATCTCCCCCCCTCCCCTCCCCTTTGCCCTTCCCGCCTCCTTAATCTACCACCAGTGGATCTCACGGAACCTCCTCTCATCTCCTCCTTTGATGGCAATGTGTAAAATAAACCGCAGAACTGCCATTCTCCACAAGCACCTTCTCAATCTGTTGAGATTTTCCTTCCTGGAAATTGTCGTCAGTTTAGCTCAAATAAACTCATGTCCATGGGGCCATGGGAAGGCCGCAGCCTTCCTCTCTTTTCTTCAAATAGATGGACTAGCAATGGAAAGGGCCTTTCTGAGAAAAATGGGCCCACCCAGGGCTGCCTGTGGGGGTGACCAGCAGTGGGCAGGTGGCTCACTCTCCTGCTGAAACACCTGACTATCGGAGGGACAGGGGACAGGTCACGTCCCACTCGGCCGCCCCCTTGCGACCACGGCGTCCCATCTCCATTCACAGCCCCCACTTCTCCCCTTACTCTCTCATTCTATCCCTCCTTCGCTCTTTTGCTAACATGCTACTTTTTGCTAGCAGTTTCCCTATTTCTCTGCCAAATCCTTTCCAAAGAGCTCCCTGGGCTTTGCAGTGTCTATGGGCACTCTTAGGGCTAAGGAATATTCTAGAACAAGCCTATATACCTCTATTGTCAACGCTCCTTCCAACAATCCCAGGCGGCTGAGGGGGGCAGGTAGGCACCTTAAATACGTGCTGGTCTAGAAAGGGGTCCCGGGTGTGTTAACCAAGGTTTTCCCGACGCTTCGAATACCTCTGGCACTCGAGGGTGTTAAGTGAATTAAACGGGAAGCCATTAGACTGAGGTGCTTCCAAGGCCCTGGCGGCCTACGTAAGCAACCCAAAACCTAAGCCTGCGAATGCTTCAAGGTCACCAAACTGAAACCTAAGGACACCAATCACGAGCAGCAGACTAGGCTTCGCGCCACACCAGCAATAATCTCGCTCTGCTCGGCCTCTTCTCTGAGCCTCTCCCCCAGCTCGCTGGTGGAGCGCTTCTAACCACGTTCGGTTTGGTGCTGCCGGGTTCCAATCAATTTTTGCTCAAATACACTCAAAACGTATAATACGGCTCAGTTTATCTGTCAACAATGCTTATTTTTAAAAAGCATTGTAAAATGCTTGTAAACAAACAAAAACAAGAGTAGACTAACCTATTAGGGGCTCCCACCGTCTTCCACGTGGGGCTGTGACTTTCTGGAGAACTAGCCAACTGCTTCATTGTCCCTTTCACTTGGTACAGCCCAAATTATCCCAATACTTTTCTCCTTTCTAAGGAGAGGACACCTCACAAAGAACCACAACAAAACCATAAATGTCAGGAAACGTGAAGCGCACTTGAGTCTGCTCTCCCCTCCCTATTAAGGGGTTACTGTCTTGGCCACAGGTGCCTCCGTCTCCGATTTCTAAACACCATCTGAAATGTGGCTCTTAGGTTACTAAAAGGGCTGGGACACCAGGCCGCTCTGCCTAGAAGCTCTGAGGCGTTCAAGGATATTGAATTTCCCGATCTGCTTGTCTAGGATAATGAAGGACTGCTGTTTACTCTGGAGACACCTCTCCTCCAGTGACCCCGGAGTCCGCAGCCACTGGGGGACTCGCTAGTACAGTTTCCATGCTTTCCGAAGCAGACTGCAACCTAAATGAAGAGAGCAACACGTATCTGACAGAGTACTAACCAGAGTCATAAAAATAGAAGTAAAACGACCGCAGGATCTAAAGCCGAAAGGCACAAACGCGTGTCACTCGGTGCAAAGAAGTACTGTCTCAATATGATTCTAGTCAACATGATTAATTTTTAAAATTTCGCCTTTTACTGATAATAAAGGCAGATGCCAACCCTGATTCAACGGTCACAATCAAATCCTAAATTAGTTTCTTGCAGAATGAAAGTAGACGGTGTCCGTGAGAACTGCTCATACACACGTTACGTATACACCAAGCACACACTCCTCTTCTACGGCAAATGCATATATGAGTTTCTTATTTGTTGACCACATAACGAGCTATCCTTGTATGAATGAAAAGGAATGTCACAGCCTGGCTGAAGGCACAGAGTTAAGAAGAGCAGGACCCTTGCAGGAGGGTCTCAATAAACAAGGCAGAGAGACCCTCACTGGTGTCTCTGTGACTTAGGGGTCTGCGGTCGGGCTTCCTAACTGTGGGCTTCCTATGAGAACAAGAGGGCGTCGTCAGAAAAAAACTGACATAGAGACAGAAAAACATGAAACTATGACCACTGGTGACCGAGGGGGCTGAGGAGAGGGGACAGACCTTCTTTGGGAGAGAAGTTGAGGAACCGATCCACTTCATGAGGCTCCAGCTTAATCTTGGGGATGACTGTCTGGCACGAGGAATCAACCTAAAGGCAGAATTTCAGACACAGTTTTTAAAAACCAGTAACACCCCCAATGAAACGCCCAAGGGAGCTATTTGTCATCTGCGTCTCCCTCTGACGGGCAGCCCCGCACCTCCGGGGCCTGAGGCCCAGCTGAGCACAGGCGGCTCTGCAGGGAGGTGGGTTAGCCGTAACCTCCCTCTCATTGCCAAACCTGGCACTGCAGCGGATGGAACCCTCAAAACCCTCACATTAAAAGCCCGGGCTCACCTACCAGTCCTCTTTCTACTATTTTTATAGGAATAGAAATGCATTTTATCACATAAATGAGAATTTTTTTTTTTTTAATGTATATTTTTATTGATTTCAGAGAGAGGATGGGAGAGGGAGACAGACAGAAACATCAATGATGAGAGTCATTGATTGGCTGCCTCCTGCACGCCCCTCATCGGGGATCAAGCCTGAAACCCAGGTATGTGCCCCAACCGGGAATGGAACCGTGACCTCCTGGTTCATAGGTCGATGCTCAACCACTGAACCACACCGGCCAGGCTGAGACATTTTTAACGAGCCCCAGGCCTGCACCAGTTTGTGCTGAGTAGGCACTGGGTAAGCCAGGCTTCATTCATTCTATCCAGGCTCCCTGATGACCGGCAACATCTACCCATGAAATATGCGGAAGGGAAAGGAGAAAAGGCACCTGGTCCATGCACAGGAAGCAAGGCCATGACCCTGACCCTTCTAGCCACATACTTAAAAACAACTGAACTGCCCTGGCCAGCACCAAAAGGTTGCTGGTTCAATTCTTGGTCAGGCCACATGCCCGGGGTTTTGGGCTCGATCCCCAGTAGGGGGTGTGCAGGACGCAGTCGATCAATGTTACACTCTCACATCAATGTTTCTCTCTTCTCCCATCCTCTCTCTCTAAAAATCAATAAACTATTCTTTAAAAATAAACAAACAACTCAACTGAAGTAAAGTCTGGGTAGCCAGGACCCCAGTCCAATGAGAGACTCAGGTAGCTACTGAGCACGGAGCTCTCCAGGGCAGGTGCAGATGCTCTGCCCACCCCCTCATCTTCTCATAAACAGACTGTAAAGAGCACCAAGGCTGAGCAGGCAGCCAAGCGGGGGCGGCTCCACTGCTCTGTGCCACCTTGTCCTGAACAGGTAGATGACCACACTCCGCTCGGAGCAGATCTGACTTAAAGAATGTCGGTGGAGTCACTGTTTGTCACCTGAGACTTTAAGTTAAGGAAAGTTAGGACTGGCTCCAACATTGGTAGGAAGAAGCACAAGTATGATTCTGGCCCATCGGCAGACAATGGAAATACCCAGAGAGAAGATGAAATTCTACTTGCTGTCGGCGTGGAACCGAGCAAGAAGAAATTCCCAATTTCTTACGCTTTCCATGGGCAACACAATATGAATTGGTAGGTGGGAGATCCTGGAAGCGGATCATTGCAACTCGGCCTTGCAGCAGGCAAGGAAATTACACAGGCTCTAGCATCCCCCATAGCCGCGGGTCTGTGCGCGGGTCTGTAAGCCACGGGTTGCACGATCACCTTAACCAGGCCCTTCCCGCTGGCTTAAAAATCATACCCAAGGGGAATTTCCTGTGGGGTTTTTTGTTTTTGTTTTTTAATACCATGGATATCCATCTGTTGTTTTTTTTCAATTTTATAATAGCTATCAAAGAAAAACTAAAATCATACTTGCTACCAATTTTTCTGGACAATGCCTTTAGAAGAAATTATACAGTCAGGGCTGACACCAAATCAACATACCCTTGATACATACACACACACACAGTTATATTCCTTAGACATATACAGCCACTAGCACCAGAGTAAATGCCTCATTAGAGAATGAGAGTCTTTGGATCCACTCTGTTTATATGGAAGACAATTGAGTGTGTACCCCAGTATCCATTTCCAGAGGAGGTTCCTCCTTTTCAAACGGGGTGGAGATGGCTGTGATGGTCAGAGTGACAGAGGGGACGAGTCCTGGGGGTGACTCCTCCGTAATAGGCTCGGTCTTGATGGTGGTTGAAGGAAAGTCCGCAGACAGGTACCATTTCTCACTCTCCGCTTCATCTGTGGGAAAAAGACAAGCACACCTGTGAACTGGCTCAGGGCATCGGGCATAAGTCAAACAAAGGACCACTGATCTTTCTCGGAAAAAAATAAACTAACAGCTCCAACAAAGAATTATTAAGAGTAGAATAAAAGGAGGGTGTGAGAGAGAAGCTAAATGGATAAAGGAATAAATGGCAAAGTAAGAGGCCATACTCGCATTCACTTGAGTGTAACTAAGCCTAACGGACTCTGGAAGGATCCATAGAAAAGAAACTTGGCTTCCCGTACACGCAGGAAGGAAACTGGGTGGATGGGAGACGGGATAAGATGGAGAATTTCAATGTGTCATGTGCAATACTTTCTGGTTTTCAAACCAAGTTAATGTGTTATCTATTTCAAAGTAAATAAATAAGCACAAGAAAGAAAGAAAGAAAAGAAAGAAAGAAAGAAAGAAAGAAAGAAAGAAAGAAAGAAAGAAAGAAAGAAAGAAAGAAAGAAAGAAAGAAAGAAAGAAAGAAAGACAGAAAGAGAGAGAGAGAGAGAGAAAGAAAAGCAAACGGTTGGCCGCCAGGGTCTCAGGAGAGAGGACCACAGACAATGGTTAGGAGGCATCTCCACCCTTCTCCCAATGGACAGCTCTCTGCTTTCTTTCTTTCTGTTCACTCTCTGTCTTTTGTCTTCTTTTGTTTCCCTACAACCCCACTTATGCTTTAAACCAGACTTAAACAGTCAGAACTTTACCTAGGCCTCTGGGAAACCAGAGTTTATCGCTACCACCTGCCCCTTGATGAAACGGGCTACATATTCATCCCGAGAAAAGGGCTCGACCTTGGGGAGTCTGGGTCTGGGTTTCCCACTGGCTTTTGTGATCGTGACAAGGCCCAGGGGCGGCAACGAAGCAACACAACAGAGCAGGTGGAAGCACCTCTACCACTTAACGCACATTCCTCGACGACCCCCGCCCAGCCCAGGGGTTCCAAACCTAGTACCTCGGTGCAGCCCTGGAAGAGCAGGGAGGAGAGCAGGAAAGGAAAAGGCAAAGAGATTGCAAATGGGCGCAGAACAGGAAAGAACAAGCCGGGGATTCTCCAAAATCAGCATTCCTTACCCAACCCGTTTTACTAAAATGAAGAGAAAATAAAGCAAAGGTATGCTCCCTGGCTCTGTGAAGACATTTATACACTCACACCACATGCTCGGTGAGCCACGACTGCTCAGGGGAGCAGTGGTTCACATTATGAAATGATTTTACACTCAAGAACTGGACTTAAGTCTTCTCATAAAAAACTACCTGAAAGTTACCCTCTACTGTCAGGGGTGGGGAAGAGCAGGCACTGAAGCAAAAAACTAAAGTTTGCCATTATTCTTTAAAAAATACATATATATTATTGATTTCAGAGAAAGGAAGGGAGAGGGAGAGAAACATCAATCATGAGAGTCATTGATTAGCTGCCTCCTGCACGCCCCCTGCTGCGGATCGAGCCCACAACCCAGGCNAGAGAAAGGAAGGGAGAGGGAGAGAAACATCAATGATGAGAGTCATTGATTAGCTGCCTTCTGCATGCCCCCTGCTGCGGATCGAGCCCACAACCCAGGTATGCGCCCTGACCGGGAATTGAACCATGACCTCCAGGTTCATGGGTCGATGCTCAACAGCTGAGCCATAGCTGCTGGGCTGAGGTTTGCAATTATTAAATGGTATGTCATGAGCAACTTCCTTCCAACAGAGGGAAGAGTGACTTTCACATTCACAAAGGAAAATGGTCTGCCCCCTAAATCCAATTTATTATTGACTTCAATATCCCAGCCCCAATTTAGTTCCCAGAGTTAAATGGAGATGCGCGAGAGGATGTTTTGCTCTTAGGGCTAGTTCTACAGTGCTGCTGAGTGCGGCGGAGTGACGGGGGAATTTCCATCTTTCTTGGGGTGAGCGGGGTGAGAGCCACTTCCCTCCGGAGGAGGGGTAGGGGAGGGAACAAAGGGCCTTTGATGGCAGCGGGAGGAGGGAGACCACACTGTACTCGACACAGAATTCTGCTGGCCAGATGGGCGCCCAGCTCAGCTCAGAGAAGCAGCCGCACAGGGAGCCCAAAGGAGACTCTAACGCCTCTCCCCAAAGGAGCTTAGGAACGGGACCACTGTCACCTGCAGGAAAGAAACACCGAAGGCGGATGTGGGGACACAGAGAGCAGAGCTCACACTTGCTCCATGCCACAATCACACTGAGCAATATTTATTTCTGAAAGAGATCGTATGATGAAACACAAAGCCTCCGTGTACATTCCAATTAACAGTCAGGAGATATTCCTTAGAAAAAGGCCACACGCAGTTACCAGGAAATTGAGGCGAGCCAGGTCTCCTGGCCGTGAAGTTATGAAAACTGGGATGAAACTTAAGTCACGAGGCAAACAAAGGAAAAAGCAAAAATAAACACAAAAAGCAAATACGAAGTTATGACAGAATGAAGACAAGTAATGGAATTGGTTCTCCCAGTCTCACTGAGGCGTTCTCAAAGCACGCACATTCACAAAGCAGGTCAAGGTAGTTCACGGTCTTAATGTTCAGTGCCCTGTACCCTTATTTTAAAAGAAATTTATATATATAAAGTCATTGCTCTATCAGGGATGGAGACAGAAGGACAAACCACGACACGTGAACTATGAAACCCAACTTCCTCTCTCAAATATAACTGAGCTCTTCAAGCGCGGGGCCCGAGGAAGATGCTTCTCCTTTCCCGGGCCTTTTCGAGGACAAACAGCTGGTATGGCCACGATACTTCCACCCTCCAGCACAGCAGCTCAGTCTGCTGTCCTGAAAGATACTTTCTTAAAAATATATGTTCTTACTGATTTCAGAGAGAAGAAGGGAGAGGGGGAGAGAGAGAGAAACATCAATGATGATAGTGATTGATCGGCTGCTTCCTGTGTTGCTCAGGATTGAGCCCACAACCCGGGCGTGTGCCCTGAGCAGGAATCGAACCCTGACCTCCTGGTTAATGGGTTGGGGCTCAACCACTGAGCCACACCATCCGGGCGAAAGATACTTTCTGAGTTAGAGGTTTATGGCCATCAAGCTCAAATACATCATTTTATAGATCAGGAAACAGACAGGTAAGCACAGTGCAAATTCGTGGCAGGACCCAGATCTCTGTACTCCCAGCCAGTGTTCTTTCCATTAAGGAAGCAACTAAACACGCAGACAGAGATTTGTGCACACGTCCGCTCAAGACAGCATTATTTATAATCACCCAGCACTGAAAACAAACAAAACATTAAAGAGCAAGGGCAAGGTTAACGAACTATGGTGCACCCACACAATGGACTATTCACATATCCAGTAATACAATATTACATTAACAACAAGGCAAAGGTTTATGATAAAATATTAAGAAAAGACCTGGATATTAATTTACATACTGTTAATGAAGAAAGCGATAGAAAAAAAGACCAAAGGAAATATGCCGAAAGCATATCTCTGGAGAAAAATTCAGAACACGTGGCATTTTTGTTTTTAAATTTTACGCTATTTCTAAATGGCCTATACTGGGAATATATTGTCCCTGGATGTTCACACGTGGGCATGGCCAGCTTCTTCCTGTCCTATTTTATACCTTCGGATGGTAATTATTAGATAGAAGCCCCAGTGGCTCAAGGGGTCCATTCAGCATCCTTTGCCTCAACAAGAGTCAATGAGTGCCTCACTATATATGTAATAAATTGCATTACTGGCTCCAGCTGTTCACTCCTCCAGCTCTCCACATCTCCTGCCCCATATTTTGTAGTGTCCTCCTGCTGTGGACTAATCCCCACCCTGGGACTGGCCACATGACTTATGGTGGTCAATGGAGGTCAGCTTCCTAACACAAGTGGAGTCTCAAAAGGCATTTGCACAACTGGAGTTACACACTTGTACTTTTGCCATCACATGAGAAGGATGTGTCAGAACAACCTATTGATCCCAGGGGAAGAATGACAGAGACATAGAACAGAGTTACCCGCAAATGAGCCTGGCTAAACTCAGCCAGCTCTCAGCTGGCTTACATGTGGGTGCATCTAATTCAAATGGCAAAGTCGCTCAGCCCCCCAAATCAGCCAGCCTCCAACCAAGACACAGACATGTGAGCTATGATAATAAATGACTGTTGTTAAAGCTAACGAATTTTGCATTATTTTGTTATGCGGTAACATAGCTGGCTGATACAATATAGTCAAATATATACCCAAGAAATTAAATCATTACATCAGAACCTATTGCAACAAAAGAATTACACTTCATTTCCCTAATAATTCCTCTAACCCATCCACTGTGAACCATATCAATGCATATTTTTTAGACTGACTCATTAGGCGTCCCAGTTACATTACTAAATAAATGAGAAGAAAATCAGCCAGTAAGAAGCCTGGTGAGAAATCCCAGTGGCCGCTGGAATTAGAAAAAAGAACTTTCATTCTGAACTTCTGGGTGTTGGCTGGTCTCTGTCCCTTGTTGGAAATAAATATCAAATCAGAGAAAACAACATGACAAATGTAACCTATGAGGTAGGAGGTTAACAAAGGATAGAGTAAAAGGAAACGAGTAGAGCATGTATTATAATTTTCCACCTGACCTTATTTTTGAATTTTTGTTTTATTGGCAAAAAAGATCAACAGGGCCACCATAGCTTAGAACTGGGATTATCCTTAGATGTTTGGGTTACTGGCTAAACTACAAGAACAAGTGTCAGCACATACGCTACACCCTCTAATTTCTAAAGCTTGAAGCTCCGATATTGAGTTAAAAAAACGTTTTCCCCTAAATTGTGTTCATACACCTTTTAAGATTCATTGCAGAAGGAAAACATCACCCAATAAGGTCAGCAGTGCCCACTGCGGGGAGTGGGATGAACCCCTGCCAATGTCATCTGATTTCATTTAAACAGCTTCCTGTCAAAGGTCAGGCCCAACTGCCACATTTCCTCAGCATCACCACTCAGCTATCAGCAAGAAAATAAAAACAAGCCACTGTCTCGTGGGGATGAG